ACCCATTATCTCCCTGACCTTACCTTGCTCTACACTTCAGTTCACTCCAGTTCGAGCACCCTGGGCTCCTAGAATTATGGGGATGCAGCACGCACCCTTCTGCTTCAGGACCTGTGTGAAATGTGCCTTCCATTTAGTACACCCCTTACCCTCCTTCAAGTATTTGCTCTCACCAAATCCTTCCCAGACACTGCTTTTCAAAATGCACACACTCCTTGGCATTCTTGCTTTACTTTTCTCTACAGCACTATCACTTCCTAATATACTACAATAACACATTTTTGTCTGTTTAGTTCACTACTATAACCTCTGCATCTACAACACCTAGCACATACTTGATGCTCAACATTTGTTGTATTAACAAACCTCTAAAATCCTAAATTAAATATCTTGGTGTCTTTCTGCTTCACACTGACCTTTCACACCCCCATTTCCTCCCAACCAGATCCAGGTTTTCTGTTCTTGATCCGGCCTAGAATTCATAGTTCTTCATTATAATCCCAATCTTCAGTGTCATTAATTTCCTCAACCAACTGTCCATTGAGTATCTCTACCAAACAGAATAGGCAAAGCAGTGGATAACAACCTGGGCTCCAAAGTTGAACCAAGGCTTGAACATCAGCTGTTCATGTTAAAAACCAGGAGGGTAACAGTAATGTAGTAATACTTGTGAATATTAAATAACTTCATTGGCTATATTGAGACTAATCACTGTTGGAGAAAAACATACAAATTAGTAACCATTACAAATCCAAAGTCTACAACCTCAAGCAGTTCCTCAATACTTTGTCAGTTTCCTAGTCATGTATCAGTCTGCTTCTCCCCAAACACCCTAGTAAACTACTGTATTATAAACTCACATACTCTTTTTTAGGAACCTCCATTCTGCCACCTTACCTTCACTGTTCAGTGATCAAAAATGAAGAACACATGTCAACTTCTCTTTCAGACCCTTGTCAGTTTCAAACTTATTTACACTGCCATCCATCTTTACTTCCTTCTTTTCCAATCACTGCTGACACCACCTCCCGATCAAGGCCAATTTCTTTATCTAGGCCATGCAACCCTCCCCTCCTCCTGCCTCCAAATCTCTCTTTCCCTCTCTCTCCCTCCCTCCCTCCCTCTCTCTCTTCAATTTCTCCTCTCTATTGGTTATTTCTAGTCCCATAAGCAGGCCCAACACCCTTTTAATTAAAAAAAGTCAAAGTTCTCTAAATATCTAGCATCTTTCCCTTTCTATACATTCTCTTTCAGAGCTCTTTGTTAAAAACACTGTATTACTCTCAATTAGCTACCCTTCTAGACACAATTTAGCTACAATTCACTTTTCAACCCCAACACATTACAATGTAGCTAACTTCTCTAGCTGAAATTGCAGTTAAGACATCTTAATTACCACATCCCAGAGGCATTATTCAGTCCTTATAGTACTTGTCCTTTTCAAGGCTGGATACATTGTTGACCACTCCTAGTCCTTGAAATATTCCCTACTTCCTCAGCTCCCCTAACAAATCCTTCAGAGTTTCCTTTTTCCTTTTTGGTCTGTCTGGCACAGATGGTTAGCTTTTCCCCAGCTGTGGGCCCCTTCTCCTTAGCAGCTCACAACACAAATACAGGAATCAGCTGGGCATGGTGGTGCACATCTGTAATCCCAGCATTCAGGAGGATGAGGCAGGAAGATCGCCATAAGTTCGAGGCCAGCCTGGGCTACACAGCAAGTTCAAGGACAGCCTGGGCTACATAGCAAGACCCTGTCTCAAGAGAAGTAAAATAAGAATCATCCTAAATCTCCAATCCTTCTCAATTCTGTAATTTGATTATTCTATCTTAATACTTCCTAAATCTCTCATACAACCATTTCCCTCCTCTATATCCCTCATCATTTCTCACCAATAGCTTCCTAAGTGGTCTCGCTTCTAGCTTTGCTCCTAATTTAGCATTCACTTACCTGCAAATAAGTCTGAAATCAAAGCATGACCCTCTTTTCCACTAAAGCATTCAGAATGAACCAAAAACTCCTAAACTTGGTTCACAATCTGTGATTTATTACTTCATTTGCCGTTATTCTAAAGCTGTGTGTCCACGTGTGACTATAGAATGTGAATGGAGTTATTCCAAACAGAAATGTGCTATGATTCTGAAGATGCAGTATGAAAAAACGAATGTCAAGTGTCTCAGTATTGCAGTGTCATACTACCTGCATGAAGAAATTGTAATATTTTACATATATTGGGTAAAACTATATATAAAAATTTCATTCATTACTTTAAAAAATATGGTTTACTAAAAACATTTAAATTACAAGGAGACTTACATTTGTGGCATTTCAATATGACAGCACTAGTATAATATGTCCTTTCTCTCTGTCTGAACCTAATTAACTCATTTATTATTCAAGAGAAGCTCAGGTAACCCTGTAAGAGTCTAGAACAGCCTCAGTGCCAAGAACCCAAGTCTGAGTCAACTATCTCTCCTCTGTGCTTCCATTCCTAGGAACCTGTGCACACACCTGTCATAAATCACACCATACTGTAATTGGTGGTTATCAGCTATCTCCTCAAGCTATCCTTGAAAAAAGAACTATCATTTTGCACATTCTTGGTCCCACCACCACACCTAGCATTTAAAAGGCACACAAACATTTCTTGGACAAATGTGAACTACCTAGTCCTAGCTGAAAACTTAGAAGGAAAGAACCTAAACTTTACCAGGAACTCTAGGAATAAAAGGACTAGGTGGGTAGGGTGGAGAATAGGAATCATAATAAAGAGATCAACAAATTAGAAAATAAAGCTCATCACACACACACACAGACACACCTGACACAGTGAGAATAGGGATTTGCCACAGTGATGTAAAGCCTTGAACTCATGGCTGGCATGCCGGGGCCATGATTTGGTTCCTAAATTGTTTAAACAACACATTCAACAACAATAACAACAAAAAAAGAGAAAGAGAGAGTATAATTTGGCAGATTTTAACACAAGCAGCTACAGCCCAGCACCTGTTCCATTTAAACAGCACATCACTGCTGTTAAAAACAACAAATCTCTCTCGTGAAGCCAATGTTAATCTCATGATGCTTCACCATGGAGCAATTTAGAAGAGTTATTGTATGAAATATGCCAAAATATGAGTTTATGGCTGATGCTTATTTGGCAAATATGGCTGGTACTGCTAGATGTCAAAAAGCATGTATACAAATAAGCAAATAAAAGTTTTTAAGCTCACAGCCTTAAATATTTACATTACCATAAATGTACAAAGATAAATGTTTATATGAGTACACATATTATGCATTTCAGGAACACATTTTTTAATGTGATTGTCAGGAAACAGTTATGAAGTGGCATTATTTCTTTATGGGCCTCAAGACAGACATTTAAAAATGAATTCTGACAGAATGTTAATGGGGTAAGAACATTATTACAGAAGTTTCTCTGCACTACCACTGAGCAAAATGAATTGTCACAGTATCTCAACAGTTCAAAGCAATCTTATCTTTTCCTTTCACCAAAACACTTTTCTTCCAACTCTGGAATCCAGTCAAACATCAATGTCAGCCCTTAAACAAGGGGGAAAGGGAGGCCACACATGAAAAAACTTTCAAGAAAATTCTGACATTTTCCCCCACATAATATAGTCATGTTAGTCCCTAAAGACACGATACAATTATTTTCCTCTTCCCCTCTGTGAAAGGGATGTCTTTTTTTTCACATAGTTTGTGAGTTGGTCATTAGCCATAACTCAGTAGCAGTGGTATGAATTCTGCTTCCTTATGTTAATTTAATCTCTACACTGAGGCTATGCGCTCCCATCTTCGAAGCTAAGAAAATGTACCGCACCTGCCATTATAGTTTACTAAATGAGCCACCAAAGAGAAGGGCCAGGCGTTTCGGGAAGTAATTAGGATAGTCAGTGAATTGAGCCATCCAGAAACGCTCTGAGATTACAGAAGGAGCCATCATTAAGTGAGAATTCAAGATTGTGCACGTAAAGTTTTACCCCTGTGGATAATTCTTTTTTTTTTTTTTTCATTTTCCCACTGCAGGGAGCGATGTGGGCTCTCAGACTACACACATTACTACAACACTTCATTTATTAGGGAAAAAAGACGCTGTGGCTGGGATTTAAAAACAAAAACAAAAAAAACAAAAACAAAAAAAACCAGCAGGTAGGCCCCAAAACAGAATCCTCAAAGCAATTTCAATTCAGGTGAAAAGCTGCTCACGTATCAACTATCCAATGACCTAAAAAGTCTTTTATAGAAGTCTCTAAGTGTTTAATTCAATGTATAATCTCTCCACATTCAACAGAGGCACAAGAAAAACGTATTCGGTTTTCTATAGTAAGGCCAATAAGGATGAAATCATAGTTTTCCTCTAACTCATCACCATCAACGCCAGCCTTCCAATAACTCCATTCCACAGCTCTGATTCCTAAACTTGGATCTTAGAAAAACAACGGATTGCAAGAGTAGCATGGGATGGGGGAGCTCGTCTTTCCTGTCGCTGTCAGCAGTCTTTTGAGGAGCCGGAGGAGGAAAAGAAATTAGGCTTCCCGACGAAGGACGCAGACGGCGGGGAAGCGGGGTGGACGCGCTCCTCTCCCAAGAAGAAAAGTTGCAAGGACGGATGCGTGGAAGGGCAAGGGGAGGAAACAGAACCGCACTACTTAATCCCAAGCACCCAGCCAGCACACAGCCAGCCTGCACAGTGGGGGCTCCGTCCCGACGCCGCCAGCGGGACTGCGCGGATACCCCGTGCTCGGGAACAGGGAGACCGAGTAGCCCCGGCAGCAACGAGAAGCCCTCCTGCCCCAGCCTCCCACGCCCGCTCCAGGACTCACGCTCCCCGCACCGCCCAGTCGCGCCTGGGCGTCCCCGCCGCGGGTCCCAACTTTGCCTCCTGTGGGGGGCGCCGCGCGCCGGAGCCGGGCGGGAGGGACCCGGGGGGACGCGAGGAGGCAGGCGAAGGCACGCGAGGGGCGGCCTCCGTTACCTGAGGGGCGCGCTCGCCGCCGCGGGGACCACCATTGCCGCGCGTCCGCGTTCTTCCTGCTGGTCGTGGCCGCGCCGCGGAGCGACTGACACTAACAACAAGTAAGTACTGTAACTCTCGCCGCCGCCTCGTCCGCTGCGCGCTCCCGCCCGCCGCCTGTCCGTCGCCCGCCTGGCCCACCAGCCTGCGCGCTCTGCCCACCCCGCGCACCACCCCTCCGCGCGCCCTCGCCCGCCTCTTGAGGCGCGAGCACGCGCTCGCACCGCCCTCTCCCAGCGCTCCCCTCAGCTTCGGGGGCGGACTCGCTGTGAGACCACGCCTTCCCGCATTCCAACAGGCGGAAGAAGAGACCTACAGGGCGCCTGATTGGCTGGGAGGCGGGCCCAAAGAGGAGGGGCAGGGCGATCAAGACCTTAGGCCCTCGTGAGGGGAAAATTTGGTTATATTAAACACCAAAGGAAAAGAAGTTGTGGCCCATTTGAATATCGGGTCTCCTTATGGCAGCCGAGTATAGAATAGGTGCTTTCAAAGACTCCAGTAGAGTATTTAGTATTTATCAAGTTAAATCCTATTCTGCAGGCCTTAGCTATAGAACAGAAAACTACATCTCCTAGGAGGCTCCGCGAATGTCCGTCATCACGTAGTACTCCGCCGTACCGGGACAAAATAATCCCTTCATTTTTCTGAAAGTATTGGGAATAATGTTTCACTTTTCTCCTCACCGGAGCCACTTTAAGTGTTACGGAGATAAGAGAAGTTACCCGTCTGGAGTTGCTAAGCTATTTGGGTAAGGAAAAAGAAAGGATGTCAGAATAAAGTGCTGCGGAGGGATTCCTCAGGCGCTGTGAGATGTTGAGTGCGACGACTGGCGGCGACTGAGAGGGGCTGAGGGGACTGTGCTCTGTCCAGGGCCTCGCATTAGGTCCCGGCCTCGGGTGGCCCTGTTGTCTGCAGGTCAGTAGGCTGTGCGGGCTTGGGGGGGGGGCACCATCGAGGTGTCCTTCGCCCTCTGAATGAAGATCACCCCTCTTTTGCTGTTGTTACTGGTTTGTCTCTGATAGAGGCCGACTGAATGGGGGCGCCTCACTTCCGGTTGGGGGAGGGGAGGATGACTCCTGGAGGAGGGGGAACAGAACTCACTTCCTGTGGGGCAGGTTAGTGGTTTGGGGGTGTCCAGCCCACTTCCCGTGCTGGGGAGGGCCTGAAAAGGTGGTGCTGGGTTCCCTCGCCGTAGAAGGCATCGCCTAGCTTGGGAATGGTTTCGTGTTAGAAGTGAAGTTGTTCCACCAAGCTGTGATCAACCTGCAGACTGAGATGTGTGTTTGGCTTCCACGTGTGAGATGGAAAATTTCTTCCCCAACAAAATTTTCCTAATGCTTCCTTCAAAGAAAGAAGAATTCCTTGTTGAAATTCACTACAAAAGAGCATACCTTTTTGTATGACTCACGAATGGCCTCCCCTTGCTCTTTTATCCAAGTCTACCTTGATGTAGTGGATAGTGTTCTCTGCCTTAACATGGCAAGAACTCTAGCTGCTGTGTTGATAAAGGACATGGCCTTTTGCCTACAGGACTGATAGTTCACATAAATTACGGGGCATTTTCTTCTCAGAGAGCAAGTGTACGAAGTACTCAGATTTTGTGTTGCCTTAACTGATGTAATTGATATCCTACATTCTTAGGCCTTTGGATTCGAGACTACAGGTTTGCCCTGAGAACAACTTCCTCATCCTTAAAAATTCTTTTGTGGAGCTGACAGGTAGTGTTTGTGAAAATTGTATTTTAGTACATCTTCTCCCTTTGTAATTAAGTTAAATTTGGCAATGATTTTTAAAGATGCTATTTATTAGCTGTGGTTTTAATGCATGGCACAAGGCTCATGAGCTCAGCTCATATTTCAAGTAGGGGCAAAATGGCTCACAAAGGACAAAAGACGATTAAGAGAATTACTTCCAGTATTCTCTTTTATAAGAAACGGTATGTGAGTTGGTAATAAATGCTCAGTAATTTTGATTCCTTGTCATTGGTCAAGTAACGCAATACTTGTATGGATATGTACTGAAGAATTAGTCTTTTTGAAGCTTTCTGAACCCAACAGTTTCAGGATATCTGTCATGTGAACCTAGAACTGCAATGTGTTTCAAAAATTCTTGAAATAATAAGACTGTGTATTTTTTTCCTTGAGATTCTTACTTAATTCTAGCCTCAGACTTTGCAATTTTAATTCTAGTTCTTTTAAAAAGCTATTTGGTTCAGAGTTTATTAGAAAATGTTTCAAACTATGAAAATAAAAATATTTTAACCTTCTATAGCCTTTATTTTTAGAAATAATTCTGATGGGGTGAAGATGTATCTCAGTGATAGAGCATTTGACTAGTAATATATGAGACCCTGGATTCCATCCCCCGTACAACAAGAGGATAATCAGCCTGAGACCCTAAAAGCAGTTATTTTTAAAAAGACCACAAAATTGCACCAGCAGTTGACTGAAAAGACAAGGCAAAATAATGTCTGTTATCTCCAGCAGTGGGTTAGGGGCATGTGGACTGCCCTACATGTGTATTAATGACTAGAAAGTGTTCACTATATTAATGTAATATGGAATAAAATATGATGTTGATATTCTGACAAATTAAATTGTAGTTTAGGAATTGTTGAAGTATGGAATGATTGTAGAACTAAAAAATAGAGAAAATGATATTAAAATATTGATTGAGATGCAATAGTATTGCCTTTTGGAGAGCAAAGAATTTATTAAATTGGTCCTCATGATATTCCATGAAGAAATGCAGTATAATAGAAGTAAAAATTGCTGCAGCTGAAAGGCTTGAGCAGCTTGAAGAACTGTCTGTTGAGAAGAAAGCAATATATAAAATGCATATCTGGAAGAAGACGTTTTGTGATGGGTGACAGTTATTCATTAGTTCCATCAAAGAAGAAATATTGTGGAAGCTTCTGAAGAATAAGTCTGTGGACACTGTTTATTCTTTTTAGTGTTTCTGTGAGGAGGCTTGCTGTCTTCGGAAGGATTTTTGAGTTGGTTTTTTTTCTCTTAAGGCCCTTTTGTTGCATTTTTCTTGTTCATGTTCTAATAGGAACATAGTGTCACAATTAGAAAAACAAAACTTTTGCCATTACACTGTTACTTCTTTGAGTTAATGATTTGAGATTTTCATTCCATTACTTCCATCTGTAATAAATTACCTATTTTTAGAGTAATTGGTTAGGTAACCATTTTCTTTTCTTCGAATGCCCTGCTCATAGCTTGAATTATTAGAACAATAGGTCAAAATTGTGGATACTGTCTCATTGAAATTCGATTGATTACCCACAGAGGTGCTATGCATTGTTCACTTTCATTCTTTTCTCTACCTTATTTTGTAAAATCATCCTTATAATTTACAACTTACTGCTTTTTTTGCTTCTTGTTTTGATAGTGGTAGTGGTTTATTTTTGCCATGGAGTTGAGTATCCTAACAATTTAAATTTTTTAAAACTTAGTTCTCTACTGTTTTTATTTGACTACTGTCAACAATATTCCATAGCTGGGCATAGTGATGCATGCCTGCAATCCCAGCACTGCCTTTAATCCCAGCACTCATGAGACTGAGGCAGGAAGAGTGCCAAGAGTTCCAGGCCAGCCTGGGCTCCATAGTAAGTTCAAGGCCAGCCTGAACTACATAGTGAAACCCTGTCTCAAAAAACAACAACAACAACACAATGTACTCAAATAAGAATTCCCCTTACGTCTTTTCATAATTTCCACAAAAATTGAGTTCCTGTTATGTAACAGTCACTTTCTAGGGACTTCAGATACATAAATACAGGGAAATATCTGTGCTTTCTTGGTGTTTACTTCCCAGTTTATAAATCAAAACTGGAAAAAAAAAAATCAAAACTGGAATTTTGTTCCCCTGGCATTCCTAAATAGGATCTACGTTATAATCATTGTTCAAACCAGATCAACGTGCAGCCCTGATTTCATCTCTTGGTCTTGATCTCTAACCTATTCTAAACACATGAATGTTTCAGTCTAATTTTCCTTCAGACGATATAAGCCTCTGTGTTAAAGATTTGGTCCCTTTCATTGACACGTGCATCATGATACTGTCATTCTGGCTTCCTTTACACTGTATGAACAAGTAAGAGTGAATAGTAGTGGACTAAACAGGTGACCGGACAGGCCTATACTCAAACTGGCCTGTACATTTTACTAGTTTGGTAACTCTGAGCCTCAGTTGCCCTAAATCTAAATGGAATGGTTTGGTGGAACAAGGATATTAGACGTAAATCACTAGCACAATCCTGGTTCTGGGGGCTTAATGCTCTCATTTTACCTCTCATCTTGCTTTAGTTATTCTGGTTATTGGGATTTGCCCACTTGTCCGTTTTAAGTCTTACATATTCCCAAAGCATGATACATAGTGATTGGCTATTGAGATTCTGCCTTTTACCCACATCAGCATGCTCATTAAGTCATTAGGATTTTTATTTTTTGTTCCTTTTGGAAAGGAAAAATCACTAATTTCCATGATTATTTTAGAAAATATACATAAAAGTTTTAAGAAAAAAAAATAAGAAATCACCAGATGATTTGAATTATTAGAGGAAAACTTTTAACTTATTTTCTTAAATCTATTTAAGTACTAAGCCCCTGTCCTCCATGACCCTACTCAAGAACCTTCACGCTGACCATATCTTTCATTACCCATCCATACATACCAAACTGAATGATCTCTGGAAAATGATATAACTGCACCGCACCTCTCTAGTTTTGTTCATGTTATCTTCTGCCTGAAATACTTTTTTATTCCTAGAAATTCCCATCTATCAAATGCTGCCTTTCTCCAGTATTATCTTCAAGAAATATTTTCTGATGTCTGTCTTCTTTTCATTCTCCCAAACCATGTATGTTCTGTCCATTGATTCCTCAGGGCATTTTGTGTCACTCTTACTGCATTTAATAGTCAGTGTTCCTGTTATTTTTGTTACATGCAGGGTTTTTGTTCTCCCATAAAAGGCTGCAGACTATATCCTATTCTTCTCTAGGTCTGCTGTCATACCTGAAACAATTCTGTTCATATTGTAGACATTCAGCAAATATGTGTGGAGTCGAACTGGTACCTGGGCCATGATGAATCTAATAAGTAACTTTTATCCTCTAGTTCACTCAACCTCAAGCACAGTAGCCAGCATATGAAGGACATTCAAATGACTGAAGAA